AAAAGGTTCGCAACACCTTTGGACCATTATTCGTTTGACTCTGGAACCCGTGACTGGCTTGAAGGCACGGTCCGCGATCAGGTATAGAAATTGGAAATATGGCGTCGGAAGGGTAGCGTGGTCCGCGAAAAATTGTAAGAGAGGGACGCTATAGCGCAATAAAGGTCCAGTGACGCCTCCTTCAATTCCAGTGACTCCGCCTCCAGACTCCGCCTCAAGGTCCGCCTTTCAGTGAAAAACGAAGCCGCAGGACGAGAAAACCCTGAGTATGAGTACTATCTCTGGTATTGAGCCGACATTTCGGAAAACCCGTCCACAAACGTTTTTTCTTCGTCGATGCACGTAGAAACTGGGATCGGAATGGGGTTTTATCTAGGATAGTTGGCGTGTTTTTTCTGCTTGCTTCTTCACTACAGTATTACTGTGAACCTTGTCGTCTTTATACAGAACTCGAATCCACTATCTGTGATGGCGAATGATCGCGGGCCTTGCCTTTAAACTTTGCCAGATTCGCTTATTTTGTCACAAAGATGTTCTGAATGAAGCATTCAGCTGTACAAGTCGAGGAAACCGGAAACCCTTTTGATCATCATTTTGTTAGCGCGTCAAGTTATGTACACAAAGAAAAGGCTCATTGTTCAAGTGCAGTGTGCCTCGACAAAACAACTATTGTCATTCGGCTTTGCCTGGGTGCCTACGCAGTGTTCGTCCTGATTCACCCGTACTTTTGGCTGCCGCAAAGCTCTTGAACTGATTGCTTCGTCTAAGTTTCATGAGGGAGTGAGTGCATCGGAAGCAAGCTCTCTTCAAAGTACGCTATCTACGGGGGCTGGAGACGATAGCCAAAATGTTGCTTTCCTCATGACGCATTCCACCGAAGTCTACGTCACACAGGGTAGCAAGTGTCTAGAAGACATTTCGTGGGATATTTAGAAGGTGGGATATTTCTCAGATATTCCTCTTTGAAGGGAAGCAAGCCCTGCACCACAGCCTCAGCCATCGTGAGACGGTGAAGCCGCCATCAACCGTCTATAGCGATACCTGAAGCATGGTTCAGGGTTCAGTCATCAATCGGCCTATACGAAGACCTGTGGAGGAAGGAGTTAGAGGCTCGGCAGGCATCTGGGCACACTCTTTGATGTAGGAATTCGAGCTGAATGTCAGTGAACACTTCACCGATAAAGAGCAAGTCGGCATGCCTGAGAAAGCATTCAGTACACTGATGTTCGAGGCAGAGTTCGTGATGAGCCAGCGAACAGAAGGTTCGTAGCGTGGTTGAGAAGCAGAATCGTATGTGCTATTTGACTAGCTCATAAAGAGAAAGGCTTCTAATAAGGCCCTACGCGTGCCACGCGAAAGACAAACAATCAATGTGGATATTGGGAGAGAGGTCAGAGAAAACAGCGAGAGAGCATGCAAACGAAGGAGAGAGTAAAGACATTATCAGCGTGGGAGGAGTCACTTGCTCCTTACTGCCGCTACCTTACCACATTCCGACGTGAGACCTATTAGGGGGGGGGGTGTCCGCTGCAGTTCAGTTTAGCTAACCATGGGTTATTGTGAGTTTTCTTTTTAAGTGCTACTTGAGCGACCAGAATGGCGTATCCCTTCTATGGCTTCACACAGCACCACATAAGCAGTTTTCTTTGGGCAGTTCGGCGACGGGTGGGGGAGGGGGGCATTTTGCACTTTCACTGCATCACTACTTCCGGTTTACAAATCTCAGCGAGCTCAATGGTAAAACGTGTCAACTCAAAAAAAGGCTATCTACATGGGTCGACATAATGATGAGAAGCACCATGCCCCCCCCCCGTCGCCAAACTGCGCGTTTTTTTTTGTTTTGTACTTATAGCAGTCATGTAATTCTTAGGTTTCATGACGGAGGCGGAGCGCGACAAATATATGGCTTACAATAACAAGTACACGAAAGTGTTCCTACCAATACAGTGGTGCTACACAGTGGTCTACGAAGCTCGCGTCTCGGGAAAGTTGAGCTGTGATCTGATGATGAACGAATTACTCAAGGTCAGTTTAAGCTGAGTGGACTGATCTGTTTGTATGCCTATGTAAAACTGGCCGAGCTTCTGTCTTTATTCGCCATCTTTTTCGGCCCAAAATTCCTCAAAGTTCAGCTTCATTGGGCGGTTGCCTAAGGCTGGCGGGGTCCAGTTTGGATTTGGTAGTAGAAATACGGACTAACATATGTGAGGCACTTGAAATGAACAAAGACCAGCCGACGAGTGGGGTGCAAGAATAAAGGGCGAACCAGTTTTGAGTTCACACTCATTTTCGGGGATACCACGACAGAGGAACGCTTCCAGGGCACACCGTCAATGAGGTAAACTGTCCTTAAGCCTTTTCCAAAATCGATCCAGTTGTTCAGTTTCTTCGGGAGCACAAATATTATAAAAACTGATAAATCCGGATCACAATTGGAAGACCCTAAAATGGGCCTTCCTGAAGCTGAAACACAAGGCCAGTCTCAGTAAAATCTCAAGTCGGCAAAAAGATGGCATGAGTTGCAAAATGGAAGGAGCGGGAGCTTTCCAGGTTGACAGGAAGCGAGAGACCAGATGCTGCATAGCACTTCACAAACAGGCATGAGGAGCAGGATAAATTCAGGGTTTTCTAGGGAAAAGGAAACTATATTCGTTTCTCGATTG